TCTGCTTCTGTCTGTGTCTCAACCTCTCTCTGTCTCTGTCTCTCTCTCTCTCTCTCTCTCTCTCTCTCTCTCTCTCTTCTCTTCTCTCTTCTCTCTCTCTCTCTCTCTCTCTCTCTCTCTCTCTCTCTCTCTCTCTCTCTCTCTCTCTCTCTCTCTTCTTCTCTTTCTCTTCTCTCTCTTCTCTCTTTCTCTCTTTCTTCTCTCTTCTCTCCTCTCTCTCTTCTTCTCTCTTCACTCTCTTCTCTCTCTTCTCTCTCTTCTTCTCTCTCTTCTCTCTCTTTCTCTCTCCTCTCTCTCTTCTCCTGTCTCTCTCTCCTTCTCTCTCGGCGGAAGAGGCACCCGTGACAACAAACACAGCAAACACACGCGCACGCATAAACAGCCTCGAGAGCACAAACAAGATGCCGTTCTTTGACGCGTCTCACACACTGCTTGCCGTCCACAGAGGCTCCAACACAACAACTATTGGTCCTGTCACGTCTATTGTTCCTCTCCTCACGTGTTTTGTCTGTCAACCGGGGTCTGCGTGCTTTGTTTTTCGTTTGTTTTGATGGTTGGTTGATGGGTTGTGTGAAGGGTTGGGGATACGTTACACAGATTTATTAGACAAGAGAGAGATTATAAACGGGACAGGCAATATATTAGATATTCATAGATAAAGAGCAAGAAGATAGCATATGAAGAGACAGACGACAGGATACATAATACACAGCTTATTAGACAAAAGAGATAGATTATATAACAGAGATATATAGATACATAGATAGACAAGTAGATAGACATATGAAGAGACAGGCAGACAGACAGAGAGATACATACACAGATTATTAAACAAAGATATAGATATATAAACGGACAGACAGATAGATAGATACACAGATAAAAAGACAAGAAGATAGACATATGAAGAGACAGACAGACAGAGAGATACATACACAGATTTTTAAACAAATATATAGATATAAAAACAGACAGATACATAGATACATAGATATATAGGCAAGCAGATAAAACATATGAATAGACAGACAGACAGACAGAAGCATAGATAGTTAGACAAAGAGATAGATATATATAAACGGACAGACTGACAGATAGATAGATACATAGACAGACAAGCAGATAGATATATGAACAAACAGGCAGACAGAAAGACACATACACAGTTTATTAAACAATAAGATAGATATATAACGACAGATAAATAGATGCATAGATAGATAGACAAGCAGAGAGACATATGGACAGGCAGACAGAGAGATACATAGACAGATAGTAAGACAAAGAGACAGATAGATATATAGATAGAGAAGAGGTAGAGATACGGAAGCAAATGGATAAACACATACACCCAATCCTTACATACGGACGCGATGTACACCAGCCCACCAAGTGTTGACACAGCAAAGAAATAAAACGAAAGGGGGGGGGGTAGATGGGGAGGGGAGGGGAGTCATACAATGAGGTTTGTGTGCATATCGTGTGCTAAGGTAATCAGTGTGTTTGCTTGCTTGTTATTTGTCTTTGGAGATGGGTTGGGGAGGTAGTGTGGATGTTTTGGGTTGGGGTGGGTTTGTTGGTTTTTTGGGTGGGTTTGGGTGTGGATGGACGTGTGTGGGTTCGGTTGGAGTGGATGTGGATGGGCTGTGGGTGGGTTGGGGTGGGTTAGGGTGGATGTGGATGGGGTTGTGTGTGGGTTCGGTTGGACGTGGTGGGTTGGGGTGTACGTGATGGGTTGGGATGGAGGTGGTGGGTTGTGGGTGTATGTGGGTGGGTTGGGGTGCGTGGTGGGTTGTGGGTTGTATGTGGTGGGTTGTTGGGTTTTGGTGTGTGTTAAGCTGAGATAAGTTTGTGTGTGTGGTATGGATGTGGAAGGGCATGCCGGGTAAGGACGAATGTGGATACAAGTGTGGATAACTGGATGGGTTAGGATGTGTTGGCATGAACGAGCATAGGTTGGGTTGGGGATGGGAATTATGGGTTGGGGAGGGGGAGGGGGCCGGGTTATGGGCGTGGATGCGGGGCGAGCGGAAGGTGCCTTGGTCTCACCCGTCCCCCATCCCCCTACCGGCCTGCCTCCACCCACTTCCCCCACCCCCATCCCCTATCCGGGCTCTCTCCACCCACCACTCCTTTCTTCCCTTCTTCCACTCCACCCTACCTCTTTCTCCACCCACGCCCACCTCCTCATTCTACCTCCCACCTCCCACCTCCCCACCCTCTCTTCTCTCCCCACCACCCTCCCTCTCCCTCCCCCCAGGCTTCCTTCAAGGCAGTCGCAGATGTCACTAACCTTGAGAATGTTTTTAGCGTTGTAAGAGCGAGTAAAAAGGGTTTGATGAAGAGCAGTGCCAACGCGAGATGTCGAGTGTGTGTGTGTTTGCGTGTGTGCGAGGGGGGGGGGTCATGTGTGTGTGTGTGTGTGTGTGCGTGTGGGTCTGTGTGTGTGTGTGTGTGTTGTGTGTGCTAATGTGTATATATATTTATATATTATGTATGTATATATATAATATATATATAATATATATATATATATATATATATATATATATATGTATATATATATAATATATATATATATATATATATATATATATATATATATATATATATATATATATATTATATATAATATATATATATATATATATATATATATATATATATATATATATATATATATATATATATATATATATATATATATATATATATATATATATATATATATATATATATATATATATATATATATATTATGTGTATGTGTGTGTGTGTGTGTGTGTGTGTGTGTGTGTGTGTGTGTGTGTATGAATCTATAGATAACATGAAATAAAATACTCAATAAAATCTGGTGCCATTGCAATTATTCTCGTTATTCTTAAGAAAACAACAGATGAGATTTTCAATGCGAGAAAAAAAGATAAGCGAAGCAAAGAAAGAAGGAAGAAAAAAAAGAAAGAGAAGATAAAATAGAAAAATAAGTAATAACAATAGAAAAAAGAACAGTAATGAGAATGACAAATATTATTGTCATTATATCATTTTGATGAGAGTAATAATGATGTTAATAGATAGTGATAGTAATAATGATATTCTTATTAATTATGATTATTATTAATAATTAGTATAATGAAATTGATAATGATGATATTGATAATAATAATAAGAAAAATGATAATAACAATAATAATAAGAAGAATGATAATAATAATAATAATAATAATAATAATAATAATAATAATAATAATAATAATAATAATAATAATAATAATAATAATGATAATGATAATATCAATAACGATGATAACAATAATGATACTACTAATAATAATGATAATGATAACGATAATAATGATAATAATAACAATTATAATAACAATGATAATGATAATCATAAACTCCATTATAGTAATATAATGATAATAATATTGATAATAATAATAATACAATGAAGTGATATTCTTGCTTCATCATTCACTCTATCTACATCTAGCTATCTGTCTATCTATCTATCTAGTTATCTGTCTGTCTATCTCTATCTCTTTCTCTCTCTGTCTGTCTCTCTTTCTTTCTCTTTAACTTTATCTCTCTCTCTCTATCTGTCTATCTATCTACCTATCTCTTTCTCTATATATATATATCTATCTCTTTCTCTCTATATATCTATCTATCTCTATCTATCTATCAATCTCTCCCTTTTTGTCTCCCCCCTCTCTCTCTCTCTCTCTCTCTCTCTCTCTCTCTCTCTCTCTCTCTCTCTCTCTCCTTCCCCCCCCCCTCTCTCTCTCTCTCTCCGATACTCCCTTCTCTATAATGGATGAATTTTGCTTCCCTGGTCACAATATTATTCCCTTTTTTATTGGAATTTTACCTGTTAATTGTTTATTCTCTTCAGAATAGCTCATTTGCATATCCTCCTGGTCTGATTTACATAGTCTAGAGAATTGGTTTTCAGACTGTGAGTGATTATGATAATGATGAGTTGGTTAATAAATTGATAAAGGAAAGGATTAAGATAAACCATTTATTGCAGTACAGGTTCTTTGGAGTAGATATTTGAATGATAATAATGATTTGTTTTATAAATTAGATAAATGATGATACTATACCATTTATTGAAATAATAGTTCTTTGAAGTGAATTGATAGATAATGATAATGAGGTGATGATTAAATTGATAGATGTATAATGATGATGATAATGATAATTCACTGTAGATGACTTACCATTTTGAGGTTGGTTTCTTGGCTTTATATTTTGTAATAGAAAGACGCAGATATGTATTTGTGGTATGCGGTGTCCACTACGAACCCTCGCATTGATATCTAGTTGAAGGCAAAAAAGAAAAAAAGGAAAGAAAATCCAATATTTTTTTCCCTTTCACTTCCATCACTAAAGAGGATTGGGGTATGTAACGTGTATCTGTCACACCACTGCTTGGTTCCCGATGCCAAACGATTCGGTGGTCTGCAATATGTACTATTGGCTTTTATTTTTACGTAGACTAAGGTTATCCATGTTCGAAGGCTTTTTACGAATTTCAACATCGTTTCTATTACCGTCTACACACCAAAAAAGGGAAAGATAAACACGTTATTGAACAGAACGGATGACGAGGCCACATGACTGAATTGGTAATGACAATAGGTGTGCGGATAGAATAAAAACAATTGTAAAATTTACTCCTCTGACGTACACAGACACCAGTTAGGGAAAATCAGCACACATTGACGTTTCGAGTCTGGCAATACTCCTTTTCAGACGGTAAAAAGCAAAATGGACCACTTGAGTTGACTTTATCACCTAAAGTTTATTCTCCCTCAGAACATCGCGATTTACTGTCTTCCGTTTTTATTATTGTTGTTTGTTTGTATTTTCTTATCTTTTCTTTTCCTTTCTTTTCTTTTCCTTTACATATTTGTATCTTCATTCTCCTCTGTATCATTTTCCCCTTAACTAACGCACCTCCCCTAACCCTCGTTCTCCCTCCTCCACAGGCCACTTCCTGTACCTGGGCCTCCCCGTGGGGTCGGCCAGCACCAACAACACGTGGCAGGTCAAGTCCAGGTGGTTGGAGGCCAGCGGGAAGAACTGCCGCGTGGAGGCCTTCTTCAACGTGTGGTCCTTGGACGACGCTGCGACTTCCTTCAAGATTCTGGTGGAGAACAGCAACTACACGAGCATCACTTCGGGCGTGGACATCGGCCGAGCGAACGAGACGGGAAAGTGAGTACGGGTTCGGGGCGTCCGAAGGCGATGGGGCGGAAGGAGGTCGTGAATGGGCGGATGGGCGTGAATTCATTGCCCCGAACGCGTAGGTGTGGGTGGCCGGTGTTTCGGTTTTCGTAGTGGCTCCAGACTTACGTAATTCCGAGTGAGAATCGGTATTTAATCATTTAATTAGTGCTTGTCCAGAGGATTTTTTTCGCGAGAGTGAGCGGTCTGTCGCGATAGCACAGAAATTATTATGTTCATTTTTAAACAATTCACAATGGAAAACATGAAAGAATTAGAATGAACTCAAATTTAGAAACGTTTGGTTACATGACAATTCGGGTGAGGAACAAGGGATACTTTATGTACTGCGAACACAGTTATGAACACAGTTCACATAAACTGGATTTGTTTTTACAACCCAAAACTTTGTGGTTAGGAGACAGAATTGCTGCAAAAACATAGATTTGAATATCAGTGATAAGAGCAGTTACATAGTTAGTAATTCAGAATAAGCATTTTCTAAAGAACATTTTAAGTATAAACATGATATATTCATACTAAGAAGCACACGTCTTTTGTGGTGTGTGACGCGAGAGAAACGGTGGGAGCAGGTCACTAGACCCCCCCCCCCCCATCAACAGGCAAATAAACGCAAGACCAAAAAGAATTCATTAAGTTTATAGATTTGGCCGCACGTGGATCCAAAAAAATCTATCAACAAAAGGAAAAATCCCAGAAGATTTTTTCTGTCCTTCGCATTTTTTTTTGGGGGGAGGGGTGAAAAAAATGAAAATATTTGCATATTGAGGGGTTGTTTATTGTTTATTGATTTGACCGCACGTGGATCGAAAAAAAAAAATCAACAAAAGCAAAATCCCAGCAGATATATATTTTTTGGGTCCTTCGTTTTTTTTTCGTTTTTTTTTTTTGGGGGGGGGGTGAAAAAAAGAAAATATTTGCATTTTGAGGGTTAATTCTAATGGGGTAATGGTTGCTGTAAAATGAGATTGGTATGTTTGAATCCCTTTGGTTAATCAAAATATGTATCTATATTCCTTCATGTTTTGCTGTCATGTTTTTTTGGCTTAATCATTCTCAATCCTTATTCCTTAATCACTTATTCGCCTTTCAGAATAAATGAAAAAAAAATCTGATCGATTTGAAATATATAGAAAATATATATGATCTTTATGGCCATTCAAACCTTTCCTTCTGTCCTCAACCACTTCATTTTGAATGGTCTCGTCGTGGTCTGAAGATTCAAATATTCATTCATTATTCATTTATCTTTTCATACACTAAGGGGTAAAATTTACTTGTTTGTTTGTAAATGTATTTATTTTTGTTCTTCCATTAAATATTTTTCACTTTCCTTACGATTTATGTTAATGAAAGTTGCAATTTGATGTGTCAGTGTGTTAGTGACGGACACATAGATAGATAGATAGATAGATAGATGAGAGAGAGAGAGAGAGAAGAGAGAGAGAGAGAGAGAGAGAGAGAGAGAGAGAGAGAGAGAGAGAGTGAGAGAGAGGGAGAGAAAAAAAAAAAAGAGAGAGGGGGGAAGGAGGGAGAAAGAAAGAGGTGGGGACGAGAGAGAGGGGGGGGGGGGGAGGAAAGAGAGTACCGACAGCAGAGAGAGAGAGGGGGGAGGGGAAAAGGAAAGAGAGAAAGCGAAATTGTGAAAAGGAAAGAGAGAGAGAGAAAGCGAAGGAAAGAGAGTGAGAGTGAAAGAGAGAGAGAGAGAGAGGAATGAAAAAATGGAGCACACAAAGGGACAAAGAATTAAACCGTGAAGCTAGACCAAACAAAATTTACCATTTTCTGCACAACAAAATCATTTAGAAAAACCGAAGGAGGCAAATCATAAAATTTCGATGTCAGTGAGTCACGTCTCTTTAAATAGCCTGATTTCTGTCTTCCGATTAATCGTAAGCATAAATCTGTTTACGTTGATAAAAATTATAGTAGACATGTAGCGCACACGTACACACACGCAAGCACGCATGCGCCTACGCCTACACACGCCCACACACATACACACGCACGCATGCGCATAAACCCACACACGCCACACACATATCTACACATCGCACGCATGCGCTATACGCCACACACGTCCACACGCACACACACACAGCACTTACTACTCTTACTATCAGCTATCACTATCGACTACACACACTACACATTATCAGCACAGTCACAATTCACATCACACACACACATCACACGATCGCCGCTACTGCGACGCTAACGCACTACTACACACACACATCAACAGCACACTACACACATCACACACACACCACAGCAGCACACACCCACACGACAACATTCACAACATCA